GTGGGCTATTTCCCTTGGGAAGGAGTGAGTGTATTCTGTAAGAAGAAACAGATTTGACTCAGAAGCAGATTTGACTCAGAAAGACAGTGACATATAAATATCTGTGTTCTCTTCTTGAACCCACAGCCAGGCTTCACTTACCAGTAGGGCTGCCAGATTTAGCAAATAAAAATACAGGATGCCCAGTTACATTTGAATTCCAGTAAACAATGAAGAAATTCTAAGTAGAAATATGCCCCATGCAATATTTAGAACATAATTATACCAAAAAAATCATTTGTTGTTTACCTGAAACGAAAATGTTAACTGGGCATGCTGTATTTTACCTGGGAACCCTACTTCCCACCTTCTTTTCAGGTAGATGTGGCCATGTGACGAAGTTCTAGACAGTGAAAATGATGTGCATCTATTCTAGGCTGGCCTCTTAAAACCTCTCTGAAAGTAGAGGACTCTAAGGAGCTAGAAGAGGGCAGCATCACAAAATGGAAAAGACTGGGTGGAACAGGCCTCCCTTCCCAAACCTGCACTAGACTACCATAAACAAGAAAGGAACTTTTATATTATTAAGCTACTGAGCTTGGGGATTGTTTGGTTTAGCAGTTAGCCTACCTTGAATAATATCCCTAAGCCTTAAGTTCAATAGCTTTTCTCATCCTTTCCTTTTTTTGTTTAAGTCTAAAGAAGGTGCTTCATAACTTTTTACTTATTTATTTATTTTTTAGAGACAGGGTCTTGCTTTGTTGCCCAGGCTGGAGAGCAGTGAGGCCATCATAGCTCACTGTAACCTCAAATTTCTGGGCTCAAGTGATCCTCCCCCCTCAGCCTCCTGAGTAGCTGGGAATACAGAAGCACACCACCACACCCAGCTAATTTTTAATTTTTTGTGTTTGCAGACAAGAGGTCTCAGTATGTTGCCTAGGCTGGGCTTGAACTCCTGGGCTCAGTGATCCTCCTGCTCTGGCCTCCCAAAGTTCTGGGATTATAGGCATGAGCCATTGTGCCCGGCCTCTTATTCTTTCCTTAACCTTAATAGCATATGCCCCTGGTAACCATTTCTTTCTTTTTTACTTTCTTTTCCCCCAACCATATGACGTGTTTCTGGTACTTCAATAATAATAAAATAGCTACCATTCATGAAGTTCTTACTATATGCCAGGCACTGTGCTAAGTGCTTTATCTTCCTAACTATTCTATGTGGTAGATGCTATTACCCCCATTTTACAGATGAGAAAACAGGTTTGAGAGGTTGAGCCCCTTGCCCAAAGTCTTACAGCCCCTCCTCCTTCTCTGTCTCTACTCTTTCTTATGACAATCCACCCAAATCATGGCTGCTGTAATTGTCATGTCTGTGTGGATGGCTCCCTGACCCCTCTCCTCGTCTCCAGTTCCACATTTCCTGGCACATGAACGTGCTACTGGCATCGTAAATTCAACATGTCCAAAATGCAGCTATTCCTTTGTTAGCACTGTTCTAGACACTTTTTTTCTTTTTCTTTTTTTTTGAGACAGGTTCTTGCGTTGTCACTCAGGCTAGAGTGCAGTGGCGTCATCATAGCTCACGGCAACCTCAAACTCCTGGGCTTAAGTGATCCTCCTGCCTCAGCCTACCAAGTAAGCTGGGACTACAAGCATGCCCCACCATGCCTGGCTAATTATTTTATGTTTTGTAGGGACAGGGTCTTGCTATTTTGTCCAGGCTGGTCTCAAACACCCAACCTTAAGTGATCCTCCTACCTCAACCTCCCAAAGTGCTGGGATTACAGGCATGAGCCACCAGCCCTGGTCTGTTCTAGATACTTTTCATGAGATAATAGTTAATTCCCAGAGCTACCCTATGTTAATATTCATATCTATGAGGCCGGGTGTGATGGCTCATGCCTGTAATCCTAGCACTCTGGGAGGCCGAGGCAGGTGGATTGCTCCAGGTCAGGAGTTCAAAACCAGCCGAGCAAGAGTGAGACCCCATCTCTACTATAAATGGAAAGAAATTATTGGCCAACTATTATATAAAAAAATTAGGCCGGGCGCTGTGGCTCACGCCTGTATCCTAGCTCTTGGGAGGCCGAGGCGGCGGATTGCTCAAGGTCAGGAGTTCAACCAGCCTGAGCAAGAGCGAGACCCCGTCTCTACTAAATAGAGAGAAATTAATTGGCCAACTGATATATATCATAAAAAATTAGCCGGGCATGGTGGCGCATGCCTGTAGTCCAGCTACTCGGAGGCTGAGGCAGGAGGATCGCTTGAGCCCAGGAGTTTGAGGTTGCTGTGAGCTAGGCTGACGCCACGGCACTCACTCTAGCCTGGACAACAAAGCGAGACTCTGTCTCAAAAAAAAAAAAAAAAAAATTGCCGGGCATGGCGGTGCATGCCTGTAGTCCCAGCTACTTGAGAGGCTGAGGCAGAAGAATTGCTTGAGCCCAAGAGATTGAGGTTGCTGTGAGTACGGCTCCGCACCATGCCTCATCTAAGCCTGGGCACAAGCCGAGACTCTTTCAAAAAAAAAAAACTTCATATGTATGAGGTGGATAGTATTATCTACATTTTACAGATGAGTAAACTAAGGCTTAGAGATTCAGTATCCAGCTCGTTTACCCAGCTTATACACAGTAGAATTGGGCCTGGGGCTGATTTCAAGGCCTAGATGGCAATAACAACACCTCAGTTCCACTCACACTGAGCTCTCCCTGTCCTGTCCTGTTCCATTTCCTGCCTTCTGTATTCATTCTCTCCCTTAACTTTCAAATCCTACCTACCCTTCAAAGTCCAGCTCAACTGCCATTTCTCCACCAAGTCTTTCTGCTACCTCAAGCTGGAAGGGACCTCCACCTTGTGTGAATTTACAGAGGAAATGCTTTATACCTCTCCTTTTTCTAAGTGCACAAATAAAACTTTAATTCATCCCCATCATTAAAGTTCAAATAGTGAAATATAGAGCAAGAAGTTTAAGTGTCCTTTCACTCCCACATTTGCTCACTTTCTACCTTGATTAATGTTTCTGTGCATCTGCTAGCAACTCTATTAGTTATTTGAGGACAGGAAGCATAACTGAGTCATCTTTATTTCCCTAAAATAGGCATTAATAAACAATTGCTGAAAGAATCAATTAATTTCAAATCTCTTGAGCACGCACATATTACACTTTTAGATGACAGTGAGAGGGTCTGTTCAAGAAGTGTTTTTTTCCAGGGGGACTGGTGAAGACATGTCAAATGCTCCCTCTCCTCCCACCTTTATTAAAGAACAAAAAAGCATCTACTTCCAGGTACATGAGGCATCTGGTTTCTGTTTCAGCAGAGTCTCAGAAGGAAATGACTTTTCTCTGAAATTGTAGACACCCCACCCAGCTGTGGCATTGTTGGACCTCAGGGTAAACAGGAAGCTTCCTGCCTTGGGTCGTTCATGTCCTTCTCCCAGACTATTAAAGACTGTTAATAGGATGATAAAAGGACAGCTGCTGGCCATAAAATCAGCCCATTCCTTAGATCCTTAGAGAACAGCAACTAGATCCCTCCAAGGCCATAGAGAAAACTGTGTCTGTCTCCAGGCTGTACCAGAAGTGTCCACCTAGATAGGGTCCTCAGTTGCAGGGTTTCTGGGCACAAGCAGATCTAGTGTGGAGGTTAAGCGGAGACTGCCAGAGCAGTAAAATTACACCTATCTTGTTGGGTTTGAGTCACCTCTTCCAACAGGGGAATTATCAGTCCTGATTATCCCCCAAAAGGAGGCAAAGAGGAGAATCTGAGAGCAAAGAACCCAGCGGTCCTACCTTAGCAATAAAGAGCTGAAACAGGACTCTAACTCTTCCTATAAACAGGACGGAAGTCCCTGGATTTGCAGCTGTTGGCGAGGAGACAGCGAAAGAGTATCTGCCAACTGGAGAGACACTAGGGCAGGGGTGATCATCTTTTGCCAAGAAGGGCACTCAGTGTCTTGGCAGAAAGCAGAGGGCTGCCCCGATTTGTGTGTACATTTTCAGAAGCATTTGACTCTGGACCAAATTCTCTCAGCTGTGCTAACGCTGCGGCGATGGATGGGAAATGCTTATTGGCCAGGCTGACCAGAAGCTCCAACAGAGGGTGCTGGGGCTCAGCCAGGAGCTTCCCTTCAGCTGGCAAGTTTAGTTTTCTGTCACGGTTGGAGGGAGTGTGTCAAAATTCCAATTCTCAGGGCTCTCCAGAAGCTGCTTGTGATTACCCATCTGTTTTGAAGAGTTTCTGCTTATTGGAATTTTTGGCTCAAATCAGGAGTAAGAGAGGTGATGATACACAGCCAACTCTGACTCAAGGAATGGGCAAAAATAGCTCAGCAGGGGTCAATGATCTTACTACCATTAGAGTGACAGGCTCATGACCAAACAGTGGCCAAGGAAGCACAAGGCAAATGCCGTTTCATTCAACCTTGGACTTACCTACAATTTACCAATTGATGCTGCTGCGGTGGCTCCTCTCACCCATGTCTACCAATCAAGCACAGGCGCCAGAGAACGGCAGGGCAAGGAGCCTTATTTGCCAGGTGTCGCTGCTTTCCCTCATTTAAAGGAAAGATCATGTAAGTTACTCCTTAGAGCTGCACCCCAGGGTGGAGGAAGAGTTTCTTCTAATTGCTGAAAACAGGAGAACTAGAGATATTTTCTCCTAAAATCACATGTTTAAGCCTCCCCCTAAGTGTTTAGACTGGGATGATTCTGTTGTTTAGGGCGGTTCTTAAGATCTTACAGTTGAAAGGGATCTACAGGAGACTATACAGCCCACCACCATCCCGAAGAACAACAGCATTTCCTCTAGTTTCAGAGGAGGTAACCAAGGCTCTGAAAACACTCCCAGGGTCACACAGGGTGTTCACAGGGTTTTACTGAAATGACCATTTGGAGACTTGCTCCTGCCACATTCTTCTTACCCTGACTTTTTTCCCCAAATGATTTGTATTATTTTTAAAAAGGTAATTCATTGCATGTATAATTGAAAGTAATTTAATTTGCATATCTTTTCACTGGCTTTTTGGTATAACAAAAAAAAAAAAATTTGCATATCTTTGTAAGATTGTTCACATAAATAAATGCACAAATCATAAAAAGTCATCAGAAACAATGTCTATTTAGAAAAGATGGTCCTACTTTACCACTGCCACTGCACTGTTGAAGCCTGCACCATCTTGTGGGGACTACCACCAGCCTGTCACCAAGCCTTTGATTAAATTTGCTTTTAATAATTTATGTTTAAATTTATGCATGGGTCAGTGGTAGGTTTAAGACTGTCCCTTCACTGACTGACCAGAAAGATCCAGGTGTACTTTAGACTTGGAATAAGATAATCTTCACTTACAGTAAAAATAGTTACCATTCTAAAATTTGCCCTAACCAGGACCAGAAAGGGCTCTCTATGGCTCACACTTCTCCCATTCCTGACCAGCCTTCAAAGAGAGATTCTAATGAACATAGTAATGATCCTAGGACAGTGCAGGAAGTCCCAATGTGTATTTTTACTTTCAGATCCCTGAGTAAAGTTGGCTTCCAGCCTGTCCCTGGAGACTCCAAGTCATGTCCAAGGCAGGAAGTTGCAATGTAGTAGTAGTCCCAGGAGCCAGTAACTCAGGAAGTAGCCTAGAATGTATCGTGTGACTGGAGAACAGGTCTTCCAGTTGTACAAAAGTCCCATGATAGAATTTCTGGGGACCATCTGTCCTGGTGGTGAGTCTTCTGCAGGAGTCTTCCAAGGCACAGTCTCTAGAGATCTCAACAGTGGCTCTTGATCCTGAAGCAAGTGAGCTGGAAACCAGTACACAATGGGAGTGGAGGAGCCCAAAAACCTGGTGAGAACCTAGAAATCATGAGAGGGGGGAAACCCACACATTTATTGGGATGTCACTGACTCAAATTGGACCAGTGTGGGGACTTCTCTGCTGCTGGCTGAACTATGGTCCCCTACAACTAGAAGTGTATTCTGCTGGAAAAGAAATTCAGCAGAGTTTAGGACCTACCTTATAAAGATATGTGTGACACCAGCCAACCTCTGTGTTATAAATAAACATAGCTAAAGGCTGGGCGGGCGTGGTGGTTCACACCTGTAATCCTAGCACTCTGGGAGGCCGAGGCAGGCGGATTGCTTGAGGTCAGGAGTTCAAAACCAGCCTGAGCAAGAGCGAGACCCCCATCTCTACTAAAAATAGAAAGAAATTAATTGACCAACTAATATATGTAGAAAAAATTAGCCAGGCATGGTGGCGCATGCTTGTAGTCCCAGCTACTTGGGAGGCTGAGGCAGCAGGATTGCTTGAGTCCAGGAGATTGAGGTTGCTGTGAGCTAGGCTGATGCCATGGCACTCACTCTAGCCTGGGCAACAAAGTGAGACTCTGTCTCAAAAACAAACAAACAAACAAACAAACAAAAAAACATAGCTAAAGGTAATTACCACAATAATGAGCCAATCAATACTAAAAACTCTATGGGGTCTCATTTTAGTCTAGAGCCTGGACTCTAAACTTTGGGCTGTTGACTTGGGAACCTGAGGTGGTTCCCTTACTCCATGGGGGTGGCAGAGCAGAGAGAAAGAGGTAGAAGATCCTGTGGTTCAACATTCTCCCTCTTTGGGGAGTTCAGAGCCCAGTCTCCAAATGGCCTCCCTCATCTAACCTGGAAACTCTAAGCTTTGCTGGCACTCATTCTACTAGCCAATCCGGCTACAAACACAGAATGCTACTTCCTCTTTCTCCCGTGCCTCTTATATACACAGCTCAGAGAACTTTACATATAACCAATATATACCTCTAAGAGGCAGAAACTGCTAAGGAAAGGTCAGTAAGGGGAAAACAGACTTCCTTGGGTGTGGCCAGAGCTAAGAACAAAAATTTGGATATAAGATCAAACGCTTCCCATCCCTCTTTATTGTTATCTCAAACTTTGGAAAAGATATCTCCTCTGAAAATTGAGCATCTGCCTGGGCTCAGAGTACCTCCAGAAGCCAATATTCAAGAAGCCAATTTGGGTATAACCAACTATATATTAGGAGAAGCCCAGATATCCTCTGTGCTTATTCCTATATCTGTTAAATCAGGACCTCTTCTATTTGCCTAGCATTGCCCCTTCTGCTTCTTTTTTTTTTTTGAGACAGAGTCTCACTTTGTTGCGGCTAGAGTGAGGCCATGGTGTCAGCCTAGCTCACAGCAACTCAAACTCCTGGATCAAGCAATCCTCCTGCCTCAGCTCCCGAGTAACTGGACTCAGGCATGCGCACACTGCCAGCTAATTTTTCTATATATATTAGTTGGCAATTATTCTTTCTATTTATAGTAGAGATGGGGTCTCGCTCTTTGTCAGGCTGGTTTTGAACTCCTGACCTCGAGCAATCCGCCCGCTCAGCCTCCCAGAGTGCTAGGATTACAGGCATGAGCCACTGCGCCCGGTCCCCCCTGCTTCTGTATGAAAATCTTTTATCTTCAGGACCAGCTTAAATATGATGCCGTTTTTAACCACCATTCAGCGGAGTGCTACTTTTTCCTTCTTTCTCAATATTTTAGCTGAGCTTTTTTTTTTTTTTAATATTCTTCAAACAGTACCCTGTTCATTCCATATACTATAATTTTATTCAGTTGAATCTCTTCTCCTTATTTAGTTACCATGAGACCCACTAGGGCAGCAATTTTATTTACTCATGTTCCATCCTTCAAGCTCTAACCCAGGTCTGCACAAAGAACACCCCAATAGTGCTGAATGGAATACAAATTAGGTATGGTTTACTCAAATGGGAGAAGTTAGCTGTCGTTCCTGTCCTTGGCAGAGGGTTTGAGTTGTATTCACATCCTTATCCCAGCACGGATCACCTCACCTGAACATGGATTTGACCTGAACTTCCAAACAGCAGCAACACTGCAGCGGTTGGACAGGTACACAAACATTGAGACTGGAGAATCAGGAATCAGGCTTCTCTAAGGCCTTATGCTCTCTTGCTTCCTTTGCAGCCAAGTGTTAAGCAGAGCCAAGGTATGGGTCACTATGTCATGTTGCCCAGGCAACCAGTGTAGCCACTGGTGTGGGCCAAGAAATTGGGCACCTGCCTGAGCTAGTATTTCAAAATGCCAACATCCAGTAGACATCCTGGATATAGCTGTATTTAGGGGGAAGGTCCAGGAGCACCAAGTGGCTTCATTTTCCTCTGCAAATGCGGTAAGCCTTGTCATAGCTAACTGTACAAGGTCAGGATGGGGTGAGCCGAGCCTGGCAGAAAATGATGTGTAGGATAATACTGAAAAAGGGCGAAGGAAGCCAAGCATAACGCACTGACAGAACAGCGAGCATCAGCTTCAAGATGTGTCGGGGATTCAGCACCATAAGAGAGAGAAATCCGACACTGAGATGCATGAGGAGCGACATGGAGCCGTCTGGAGCACACCGTGGCAAGGCGAAGAGAGGTCCATAGTCCAGACTCGGCTCTTCAGCTGCACTGGCAACTGATGTTGGAGGGCAACAAAGTTCTGTAACACTGCCAGGAAGACATCTGGCAGGTGAGGCAGAAGAGCAGTGCTGCGTTAAAAGGCCTTGGCGGGAACAGTGCAAGACCAGCAGCCTAATCATGAAGTGGACTGCGGCCAGCCACAGAGAACAAGGAATTGAGCAATGCTTACTGAATCAGCAGGCAACTCCGGAGTCTAGAGCCCGCAAGGCGTCTCAGTAGTTCAGCTGTCACCAGCAGGCCAATGGTATTATAGCGAGAGATATTAAATACCCTGAAGGAGGCATCACACGCATGGTAGGTCGCTCTATACATAATACTAATCATTGTTAGTAGGTAACCACAAGTTGCCTACACTGGGACTAACCTCTTGTCCGCGCCTGGCAATGAACAGAAGTTGATTGGTTCTAGCTATCACAACAGACTGTGACATGGTCTCCAATGTGCGCATATGGGCCCTTCCGCAAGCTTGGTTGTGTGTCCATCAGATAGCCACTCGTACGGGTGTGGCATACGTCGAAGAAGGGAGACCAAGTACCAGCTCTTCTCGGCTTCATCTTTGTGTTTGATCCTGGTCTCGAATACTGGTATCTGGAAGGCTGGACCTGTTGGTCGGTAAAGAACATACAGTTAGTGCCGAATTTGACAGCATGAGTAACTGTTGAAGAAGGGATAAATATAGGAACTTCAAGTACAGTGTGTGCTCTAGAACGCATGCACTGCTGCATGTTCTTGCCTTGTTGTGGGATCGGCACACCTCTGGTCAGTATTGTGAGGTTTGCTGTATGAGGCTATAACACCGTCTGTCGCCATCGGGTCACTTATGTGTAGATGCGTCAACCCTATCATCATTGTGAGCTTACAATGAGTCTGCGTGATCATTAGTACAGGAATTCTTGAGCCATGCTTGGAGTACGAAACAGAAATTTGGGAGTTATATTGTATTACTGGGGGCGATCGAGGAGTTTCATTTAAAACAGGAGCAACTTCTCTTCGACAGGATGAGGATTTCCCTAGGGTAGGAAGTCTAATACAGTAGGATAAGAATGAGATTATATATGTTGGTACTGTATGCCAGTATTTTCAGAAATAATTAAACAATTAATTTTTATTGAGATAGGCTAGAAAGAGGATGAGGGGATATCCTAAGCAATGTAAGATTCATATTCATCATATACTCAAGAAAGGTTGGAAGGTAAATTTGAATAATAGAGTTAGTAGGTCAGCGACCAACGCAGTAGCTTATCCCTAGTCCCTATCTCTTCCTTTGAATCGCAAATTGTGTATAAACCGTAAGAGACAGGTTGTGTGTGATTTTCCAGTCATCGCTCATATTGATTGCTGCTTGATTACGCCTGGTCAGTAGAGTTACGATATATCCTTTATGAGGATGGAAGGAAATTAAAGCATTGATCGATCCTCGTAGTCTTTAGTTCAGACTGGAACTGCAATGTGAAAGGCACTCTGTAGGGTAACTTAAGGAGTCAGGATGGCATATTGAATCACAAGAAAGACGGGCTATTCACTAATTCTGAGCCAATGGTAAGTACCACTGGTGGGGAAGGAGGGAATGCTGCCGAGACTGAGTCATAGAT